AAAACATGAACATTTATTGTAATGTTTATAATTTTATTATAATTCAATTCCATTCATTTATATTTTAATTTTTTCCTGTTTATACTTTTGTTTTAAGCTTGATTTACTCCCAAGCCATACGTTTTTGCTTCTTTAGTTTCTTCTGGGAGATCTTTTTCTTCTGTGCAACCTCCTCTTTTGGTTTAGAAACAATGTGTTCCTTTTCAGTTGGGATCATTGCAGTGTGGCAAGGGGAGCTCATGTATGATTTGATCTGACCATGAGCTCTGTAAGTCCGGCAGCAAATTTGGGGAGCTTTGTTCACCTTGGATGTGCTCAATGACCAGAGAATCCACTTACAAACCCTTTAGTTCAGCATGACTTTGCATTTTTAAGCATGTGCAGCAAAAACTAAGCACTCTTTTGGGATCACTGACCCTGGGTCCAACCCCACTGTTTGGCCTGGGCACACATGTGAACTCTCTACTATTGTAACATCAAAAAGGAACACACTACTTCAGTAAAGTCACATCTTTCAACTAGTTGGTGGCTTTCTGGATATACAAACCCTTGAGGGCCTGCACAGTTTCATCAGGGTTCTTAAAATAGACCCGAAGAAGTGACCCTCTTGATTTGTATGATTTTGTGGGGTTCACTGAATCAAGTGAGCCGGGAGCCATTTTGGCAGATCAACTCAGGCCACTGTGGGAAGAGCTCATTTACACTATTATTAGTTCATTTTAAGTTTCAGGAGCAACAGTAAAATGTAGTGATTGAGACTGTTACAGTCACATAATGCCATGGAAGACAGAGATTCAGAGAAGAACCACAATACCTTGTGAGATAAAATGATGACTATGCCTCAATTGCACCAGTTTTAATTTTATATCTTAAGAGTGACTCTCAATGTTGTGACTCATTGTTTATTAGGCAAATCTTTTCTTAACCCTGCCACACCTTTGAGCTGGCTTTTCCTTCCCATATTCAACCTCCTAAAAGAAATTTTATTCCTTGCAGATTGTTTTCACTGTGTATTTACCCCTAGGAAGTGAATGGTGCACTGGTTAGAAATCACCAGTCACTTACAAAGGAGGAAATTTTATCAATCCGCTTCTAGAAACATTGACAACCTTGGAAACCTTATGGGGTAGTTGTCCTCTGTCCTGTAGCGTTGCTGTGAGTCTCAGAATGGCTTGAAAGCATTGTTTCTTACTGAGTAGTTGATCCTAGTCTGTGAGTAAGCGTGGAGGCAAGTACTCCTTTTCCTAAAACGTATCCGCCTTCTTTATTAAACTTTGATTTTTTTTAATTGTTATTTCCTTAACAAATATTCATTGAGTTTCTTGTATTTTTGAGGTGGTACACCTTACCCAAGACAGTTGTATTTACAATAGCCTCATAAATATATGAATGTTGAACAAAAGAAAGATCGAAGAATTGACCTCTTTGAATGATAGTGTTAGCAAAGAATATTAAAAAACACAATACCTTGACTTGCCAGAAGAACTGATCTGCTGGAAGAAGTACAGCCAGAATGCTCTTTAGAACCACAAGTGGTGAGACATGTAATCAGAAGAGAACAGTTCCTGAAAAAGGAAATGAAGATTGGTCAACAAAAAGAGGAAGACCTGTATCACTATTGACACAGTGACTGCACAATTAAGGGCTGTGCAGGTGGTGCCGGACTGGACTGTGTTTCATTCTGTTTCCATAGGGTCTCCATGAGTTGGAACAAACTCAGTGACACTTAGCAATAACAACACTAATTGTACAGTGCTAGGGACTAGTTCTAGGAGCTCTGATGGTGTAGTGGTTTTGTGTTGGGCTGTGAAATGCAGGGTCAGCATTTCAAAACCACCAGCTACTCCTCGTAAGAAAGCTGGGGCTTTCTACTCTTGTAAAGATATACAGTCTCAGAAACCTACAGGGGCAATTCTGTCCTGTCTTTTAGGGTCACTATGAGTCAGCATCGACTCTATGGCAGTGAGGTTGTTGTTTTATGTTTTTTTTAAGTACTAGTTAAGGAGTCATGGTGGCATTATGTTTAAGTGCTTGACTGATAACTGAAGACCTGGCTTTGTCTGCCTCTAAAAAAATCTAAAATTTTATAGCCCACTGTTTTGTCTCATTGTCACACTAAAAGGACTGAGTAGGACAGCTTCATAAGGTTTCTGATCTGTACAGAACAGACTCCCACCTCTTCTCCTGCAGAGGGGCTGGTGGGTTCAAAACCCAGACCTTCCATTTGGCATATGTGTGACCAGGGCTCTTTCCATAAAGATTGCCACCTAGGAAGTCCGTCTGGGGCCATTCTTCTATGTCTCACAGGCATGCTAGGAATCAGAAAAGACTGGATGGCACGACAAAAACAGTTGTTCATTCTCTAGTTCCTCCCTGTCTGGCTTTGTCTTTGCCATTTCTCTGGCACTCTTTGCTCTGCATCTCTAACTTTATGTTGCCTAAAACAACTCATTACCATTGAGTCAATCCTGACACTAGCAATCCCATAGGACAGTAGAGTTGCCCTTTGTTTTTTACTTCAGGTCCTTAAAAAGCAGCCAGCTTCATCTTTCTCTAGCAGAGCCCGTGGTGGGTTTGAACCTTTAACTCTTGTGGTTAGCCCACTATGCCATTACACTTTTTCAAGCTTCTTGTCAAAGAGTCATTGCAGACCAGAGGCATCAGCATAACCTGGAAAATTGCTAAAAATGCTAATTCTTGCTTTCTACTCTAGGTTTACTGAATCAGAAACTCTAGGACAGTGTTTCCCAAATTGGGTGATATTGCACTTCTGAGTGACACTCGAGCAATCCATGGTGGACTGCAAAAGCAAATACTTACATATTATCCTGGATTATGGGCTATAGCACAAAAGGTTTTAATAGGATTTTTTTCGGGTGGGGGAGGTATCACTGAATTGTTGTTTTTAAAGAGGGCAGTAGACCAAATAAGTTTGGCAAATAAGTTTGGCCACCTATGCTTTAGGAGGTAGGACTAACAAACAATTTTTATGATGAACTTTAAAATTTGAAAACTGTTACCTTAATCCTTGCTTTCTTTAAAGTTCATTTCTTAACCCAGCTCAGCCATTTATTACTAAATTTTTAATATCCCTCCCATTTCTGTAGTTCTTAATCTACATCTGTGACACTGATTTGGGACAGTGACCACTTGGGTCACTTTTTAATTTGTGTATTAGCCACCTTCCCTGGATCTTCTAGTACTTCATACTTTGTATTTCCTAAGTAGATTGCCTTTATCCATCTGATATCTGTATTACATATTATGTTTCTATTTCTTACCACTCATATACACTTATTCTTAATTTACTCATTTTCTTAAAAAAAACACAACAACTAATAATCCAAATAAGCTCACGATTTTCTTTTAACTTTATTTTGAATTGAATGAAGGTTTACAAAACAGATCAGTTTTCCATTCAGTAAATCATATACATTTTACTTCATGTCATTGATTGCAGCCCCACAATACTATCACTTATCCCAATTCTTCCTTGGGGCTCCTGTTTCTATTCCTCCTCTTTTCCTAAGCCTTGCGAACTCTGTTCTTGGCTCACTGCTGCCCTTTGCATGTCAAGCAAATGAGTATTCTAAGGTTGTGGGTATGCCTTCCTAGTGTTAATGCTTCCTCCCTAAACCTTTCTACTGTTCTTGGGAGTGAGTTCATTTCTAGACTAGAACAGTGATTGAATAAGGGTTCCACCAGTGTATCTGACCACAAGGCTGTCTTTATGTTTCTGAGTTTAGTTCTACTTTATACAGGTCTTCCTGTTGTAATTCATTTCAGAGCAGTTGGTAGTTGTAACTGGGCATTAGTTTTTCTGATCTTAGAGCCATGAAGATTGATGTCACACAGCTCATTAGTTAAGTAGATTAATTGTTTCCGTCCACCTTTCAATTGTCCTTATTCTTTTTCCTCCAGATGGGGAGACACCATTAGTTGCACCTTAGATGGCAGCTCTCAAGCTGCTAGACCCCAATGCCACTCGCCCTAGTAAATTGTAGACCATGGACTTTGTAAACTATGTTTCACTAATGAATTTTGGTATCCTCCGAAATCGTGGTCCTGAGGTCCCAGACTCAGTCATTCATGCCCTCAAGCTATTTGGTTATGTCTGATAAGTTTTTGTAAAGTCATTTTCCAAGCAATATTACTAGTGCTTGTAGACCATCTGTTAAAATGTATTTTTATCTTCCTTACTTTCTCCATTTCTTTCCTCCTTCCTTCTTATCCCCACCCCACCCCCTCAACCTGAGAATTTAGCAGACGGTTTGCTTTAATTTTGACCCCAGATGCCCAAGTTAAACCATAGAACTGGAGGGTCTTTGTTCCTTGGCCAGTAGATTGACATCAGCTTATATTGGCACCAAAGGTTGAAACCAGGCAACATATAAGGTATCCTGGTGCAGTTCTGGCAGTGGGTTTTGAATAGGACTGGGCAAGTCTCCAAGGGCAAGAATGCATAAGATTAGAGCTAGAAACACAAGGAACTTCAAGAATTTGAGTAAAAGGGATAATAAATATTGGCATTCAATAAACATTAAATGAATAAAGGAGAGATTTTAACAGCATGAACAAATATTTGGTGTCACAACTGGTTAGCAGTTTAATTCTCTAAGAAGGGATGAATTCAATATTATTCAATCTTTAATCTTTAAAATTACTTATTTATGTATGCCTCCTACAAGATTCAATTTGATATAAAATTTTAACAGTTTCTCATTGATTTATCTAACAGCTATTTTCTAATGATTTAATCATATACCTTGAGTTATGAATTTTAACTCTTTACAGTTTGTTTTGTTTTACTCAATTAGAGCAGGAAATTTGATAGTATTTGTATCTGTTATATCTGACTTACATCAATGAATTTTTGTATTTGAAAATAATCATAATATATACCTAATCTTATTTGAGCTATTGTCTCATGAAAAACATATCTTCCTTATGTTTAATAATAATAAAACTTTACTTTACTTTTTTTTTTAACCTGCATACAGGAAACCTCGGCCTGTCTCTCAGTTGGTTGCACAACAGGTTACTCAGCAGTTTGTGCCCCCTACACAGTCAAAGAAAGAGAAAAAAGATAAAGTAGAAAAAGAAAAAAGTGAAAAGGAAACAGCTAGCAAAAAGAATAGTCATAAGAAAACCAGGTAATTTTAAGAGTGTTTTATGGCATTTTTGAAATAATAAAATCAACTCGTTAATATTCTGTTTTAATATTTGTATGTTCCATACACCACATGGTTTAAGATCAGGGAAGGTGTGTATCAGAATTATATCCATTCACCATACTTGTTCAGTCTGTATGGTGATCAAATAGTACAAGACACTAGAGACAGTGTTTATATGTTGGGCTACAATACACAGGGCCAGCAGGTCAAAGCTACCAGCCACACAAGGCTTTCTACTCTCATAAAGTGCTACAGTCTGGGAAACTCACAGGGGCAGGTCTACCCTGTCCTATGGGGTTGCTTTGAGTGAGCATCAGATCAACACCGTAGCAGTCAATTTGAGACCATGTGAAGAAGCATTAGGATTGGAGGAAGACTCATCAACATATAATATGTTGATAACACAAACTTGCTTGGTGAAAGTGAAGAGGACTTGGAGCTTAACTGATGAAGATCAAAGACTAGAGCCTTCTATGTGGATTACACCTCAACACAGAGAAAACAAAAATTCTGACACTGGAACAATCAAAACAGCTTTGTGATAAACAGAAAACAGATTGAACTTGTCAAGGAACCGAAGGACATTATACACTGTGGAATTCTGCTACAAAGACCTCTTTAAAGGGTTAAAAATTCAGGATATTACTTTGAGGATTAAAGGGAATGACCGACCCAAGCCATGGCATTTTAATTGCCTCCTATGACTGAAAGCTAGACAGCGAAGAAGGAAGGCTACAGAAGAATTGACGAATTTGAGTTGTGCTGGCAATGAATATTGAAAGTACTATGAACTGTAGGAAATCAAACTTTCTGTCTTGGAATAAATACAGCCGAATGCTCCTTAGGAGTAGTTTCAACTCATATACAGTATTAGGAAAGACCAGTCCCAGAAGAAAGGCGTCACGTTTGCAATAGTAGAGGGTTATAAAATGGATTGACCCGGGGCTACAGCAACAATTGTGTGAGGATAGCCAAGGGTGGTTATGAATTGGAACTTAACAGCATATAACAACAGCAATATGCTCATAAACAAGGAAGAAGTAAAATATTTAATCATTATTTTAAATTTTCATGAAAGTTTTTCCTGAGCTTAAAAAGTTCTATTAGAAATTAAATATAGAAACCACAAATACAAGCTTAAATAAGATGCATTTTTTTTAGAGTTATTCTATTTTTATATGTAAAAACCAAGACTGCTATTAAAAATACTTAACACTAGGGAGGAGGTAGAGGGGAAAAAAGAGGAGCTGACACCAAGGGCTCAATAGAAAGTAAATGTACAGAAAATGATGATGGCAACATATGTACAAATGTGCTTGATACAACTGATGTATGGATTGTTACAGAGCCCTCAATAAAATGTTTTTAAAAAAATGATAGCAACGTATGTACAATTGTGCTTGACACAATGGATGTATATATGGATTGTGATAAGAGCTATATGAGCCCCAATAAAATGATTTTTAAAAAAGAAAGGAAAAAAAAAAGGAATGATTGCAAGATGTAAAAAAAATTACTTAACCAGTATGTGTGTGAGCGCCTATCAATCAGAAATGCTTATGTAGGGAAGAAAGGCCTGGAGAACTACTAGTAGAAACTGCCATGCAAAAGCCTATTGTAGATATTGCAATCAGTGACATTTGAAGCAAAATTTAAATGAATTGTTGAATGGGAAACTGATTGGCTCTATGAATTGACAGAAACTTATGTATGCCATTTAATAGAGTAGATTTATTATTGTTTGGGATTCCCTCAATCCATTCTTGGGCTGAGTGATTCATTGGAATCCTAATACACATAAAGAGCTGTTATAGTCAACTGTTACAGTTCAAAGGAAGAGAGGTGCCTGGGAGAAAGTGGCTCAAGTGCCCTCTCCCAGTGGAGCTACTCTGTGTGTAGCAATGTGTGCTAGCACTTAGCAAGTGTTCCCAACCAGATGGCCCAGGTCGTGCTGTCTGTCACTTTTCTGTAAATTAGTCATGTGGCATTATACAGTTCCTGCCTGATTGACCTCAGCTACTGAGACGCCAGCCTCCCAAAGGCACTAATCATAAATCACATTGCTAGTATAAGCTGTTGTATCAAACTGGTATGCATAATCCCAGGCCAAAGGCTCGTAAGAACACTTACCAGACAGCGGATTCCTGTGGTTCAGAGCTCATGTCTTAGAAACTAGACTACGATTAGACAAGCCAGATGTGGGGTTTGAGGAGCCCACAGCTGCTGAGTTAACCCTTTTCTGCCAAAGGCTTATTTTTAAAATATACATACATAAAGAATAAAATGATGAGTTTTTTTAATAAAGAGGAGAGAAACTGGCTCTGGGAACCACCCAATTCACAATAAGAAGATAAGAAAACAAAAGGAAGGAAGGAAGGAAAAGGATTTAGGCCCCGTTCTCTTTCCCTCGGCCTCGGACCAGGCAGCGGCAGAGTTCTAAAGCTCAGCCATGGCCAAGAGAGGAAAGCCCCGGACCTTGGCGGCAAGAAGAAGGAAGGGCTGCGCAGACAGCTGGACGATCCGAAGGTGGAGTTGCCGCAGCTGCGCGTGGCCAAAGTGACAGGCGGGGCGGCGTCCAAGCTCTCCAAAATCCAAGTTGTCCGCAAGTCCGTCGCTCGAGTTCTCACCGTCATCAACCAGACTCAGAAGGAGAACCTCAGGAAGTTCTAAGCAGGACAAGCCCCTGGATCTGCGGCCCAAGAGGACGCGGGAGAGCCCGAAGACCAGGAAGCAGCGGCTGTACCCACAGCGCAAGTACGCAGTCCAGGCCTGAGCCGTGCGCGTCAGTAAAACTAACTGGCTGGAAAAAAAGATATATAGATCATCGGTGATCATTCAGGACAGCTAGTCATGTATCAGTGCACATCAGTGGAATAACAACTGTGCAGTAGCTTAACTTTCACTGTATCATCTCCTTCTGTGCTTCAGCTATTCCACTGATATTTTAAGCATTTATTTTAATAAAATAGATAAGCTATCAGCTAAAGTATAAATTTTTTAAAGCACATTTTAACTTTTTATTGTGAGTTAGCTGAGGGATTATATTTCAGATCTTCATTTTGGGATTCAACAATTTATCAAACTTCCCAATAGATTATCTTGTCCTGGCCCCCCCCACCTCCTTTGCTTACTCTTCTGAATGTCAATACTTAAACATGTATTCATATTTTGTTACACCCTTGCTAGTTTTGCCTAATTTATTCATTATATGCACAGAAATTTGGTAGCACGAACAGCTAACAATTTTATCATCTTTCTGTGTTTAGACCCAGATTGAAAAATGTGGATCGGAGTAGTGCTCAGCATTTGGAAGTTACCGTTGGAGACCTGACAGTCATTATTACAGACTTTAAGGAGAAAACAAAGTCCCCGCCTGCATCTAGTGCTGCTTCCGCAGATCAGCACAGTCAGAGTGGCTCAAGCTCAGATAACACGGAGAGAGGGATGTCCAGGTCATCTTCACCTAGAGGAGAAGCCTCATCATTGAATGGAGAGTCCCATTAAAATTTACTTTCTCCCATTCCTTAGTTCCTTCTGTCATACCATGCAAATACACAGATTATGCCAAGAAGTACCACATTTTCATGACAAACATATTCATGTACAATTCATAATTTAAGTTTTACACGAAGTAGAAATTCGTTAAGATTTTCTTGCAATCTATGCCTGTCAACCATTTCCAGACTTTACATATTTTGGTCTCTGCAGTTAAAGGTGCCATGAAAATGTGGTTGAATTATTCATTATGCAGTGTTATTGGTAAGTCTATTTTCACTTTTAGTTTAGTGAATTCTAACACATAATTATTGAATTCTCTACTATTGGCATGTAATGAATTAAAATTTTTATAACATAGTTCAAGCTGCCTAAATATGTATTATTTGAGAATTGTGAAACAAATAGTTATATGTATACAAGTCAAAGATCAACTTAATCAACTATTGCTGCAATAGGATTTTTTCTTAATGGTTATTCTCTAAAATACACCTGCTGGTACTTGGTGTGGTTAAATAGGAAAGTTGTTATTAAATAAAGAATTTGTATGAACCTTTGCCAATGTTTTGACACATTTTACTAAATTATTGTTTCTGAATTATGTTTCTGGTTTAGTTTAGGTTTTTTTTTCTTATTTTTCATGACATTCATTTATTGTAATGTTTACTAGCAGACTAGTAAGCAATAAAGCATTGATTATTTAGCTTTATAATTCAGGTTTAGTGTTATTGTCATTGAACACTGGTATTTTCTGTATTACATAGAAACATTGAAAATCAAATAATTATAGGCATTTGGCAAAAAGAGAAAAGAAACCTGCCATATTTTAAAAATTGCAGTTTTAAAAAAGCTTTAATTTAATGATAGTTTATCACTGTATCACTGTTTTCTTGCCCCCAAATTATCCAGGGTGATAGAGGTATGAATCTAATTAATATAGACATGGGAAATGTTGCACAGAACTGAGAAATAACTAATTTTAAATAAGTTTAATTGGCCTCATGTTAAATATAATAATTCTTATTCCCTATTTTCAAACAAAAATGTCAGATTATGCATTTATCAATATCCTGAAATGAAAGTATTTACAGCCCCAGTTACTATTATGTAAAATTACCAATAAAATATTTTTATGACTACAGATTTTGCATTTTTGTTTACAACTTACAAGTGTTTCATGTTGTATTTAAAAGTCCAACCTAGAAACCACGCAGTACTTCTTAAAATCTCTTAGGGTCTCCTGCTTTCTCTTAACCATTTGCTTAATATATATCCACCTGTAGGAGACTTCTGAAATGTAAATTAAGTTTAAAAATAGACCCTGGATACAAAATATCACATAAAAGACATCATAATCTCATTTAAAGAAAACAAAATAAAACTATAGACCCTAACAGTTGTGATACTAGTGGTTTCTCGTGGCAATGTAATTTGTCTGTTTAATTGCAGTACTTTTTACAGGCACAATGGTACTGTCTTTTTTGTAAGATGCTAGTTGTGAAATACAGTTAATTGCATACAGTAAAAGTCTGTGATTAAAACATTTATATACCTCATTCTTTAGTGTTGTTAAATGGAAACTTAAAGTTTGTGTTTTATTATACTTTCAATGGGATATCAATCAATTGATTAAGTTACATTCTCTTAAAATGTGGAACATTTTTGTCTAGCATTTCATATCTTTCAAGTATTCCATTTTGGAAATAATCAGAGTTAAAAATATCTAGAATAGAGAAACCTAGTTTTTAAGTTTATAAGGAAGGCATGGTGCTTTCCAATGTCGAAATACTTTCTGCATGTATTTTAAGTGCGTTAAAACAAAATATGAAAGAATATGAAATCTTATATCAGTAAGAATACTCACTTTTTTATTTATAGGTAAAGAGAGCAGCATAAAGATGTGTGTGTTTAATGGTGTCGGCATTCGAATCTTCCTGTAGAACTTAAATGAGCTTAAGAAAGCTATAAAATTTAGATAATGATAATCATTTATTAATGTACAGGGTTGTTGAGAGGATTGTGTGTCAATCCATGCAACGTTCTCAACAGTGTCCCCACATTCTGGATGCTCAGTGAATGAGAGCACTGACTATAATTAAACTCCCAATCTGTGACATCACTATGGTTGATAGTGCCCACTGTTGAAAATCTCTCCCATGAACCTCTTTCCACACCACACCATACAGAATCCTTAGTAATGTTTATTATCAGTTTTAATTGGAGAGGAATATACAATGTATACATATAGTAGTAAATTGCTTAAATGTAATACTGCTTAGATTCTGTCAATACTACCAACAAAATTATTTTGTAAAAAAATTTTTTTAATCATTTTACTAGGGACTCGTACAACTCCTCACAATGTATACATCAATCCATT